AGTGTTAGGGCCCCTGTCACCCATGTAGGGGGTCCAGATGGATTTCCAGGTTCTTGGCTTCAGTCTGGACCAGTCCTGGCCATTGTGGCCATTTGGGGAGTGAACCAGAGGATAGAAGATCCTTTCTCTGTCAGTCTGCCTTTCAGATGAATAAACAGAGATAGGGAGGGCCGGTGCTGTGGCATAGCAGGTAAAGCCGCCCCCTGCAGTGCCAGCTTCCCATATGGGCGCTGGTTCGAGTCCTGGCTGCTCCACTTCTGATCCAGCTCTGCTATGGCCTGGGGAAGCAATAGAAGATGGTCCATGTTTTTGGGCCCCTGCACCCTCGTGGGAGGTCCAGAAGAAGCTCCTGGCTCCTGGCTTCGGATCGGCACAGCTCCTGCCATTGCGGCCAATTGGGGAGTGAACCAGCGGATGGAAGACTCTCTCTCTCTCTCTCTCTCTCTCTCTTTCTCTCTCTCTGCCTCTCCTCTCTCTGTGTAACTCTGACTTTCAAATAAATAAGTAAACATTTTTTTAAAAAAAAAGAGAAGAGGGAGGGAAAGAAGGAAAGAAAACAGTCACTATTATAGAAGTGACTGACAGAACAATGACCTCTTACTGGACTTGAACTTCCTCCACTCTGGGGCTGGGTCTAAGATGCTTCCTGGGAGCCAGCAAGGTCCGGGTGCACAGATCGCCTCCTGCCCTCCGGTTTTCAGAGCTGGTGCCCGTGTGCTCTGTTGCTACAAGCTGCAGAAGGTTTCAGCTGCCCTGCAGGGACCCCAGGAAGTATGTGTGCTCATCAGTGTCATTAGCTGTCTGCAAAGAATGAAATAGAAAAGAAGTTTATGCCTGGTGTGTGGGCACAGAAAGTGGATGAGGAGGAGGCCCCACTGGGGGACTGCTCACAGGCTAAGCGGCCAGCGCCAGTGCTCAGAATGACAGTGCAGACAACTGATGAAGGCCCCGCTGTCTCCACTTGTCGGCACCAGCTGCCGCCGTTCACATCCCTACACTCAGCCATACATGCTGGGTCGCCAAATCCCTGTGCAAGACTGCCTAGGTGCAGTCTGCCCTAACCAGGGGAAAACCAGCGGCTTCTGGACTCTGCATCTTCCAGGGGCTGTGTTGACTTTCCGCAATAAAGAAGCCCCTGGAGTAGCAGCTGCAATGTGAGTTACCTCTTTGGACTACACCTGCTGTCATGTCCCAACACCCGTCTGGCATTACACAGACCACTGACGTACGCTGAAGCATGGCAGGGATCAGTGCCCCTCAGCTTCCAAGCCCTTGGTGGCAGAGTGTGCCTTGGCAACTCCTCTGTGGAGGCATGCTGGTGGAGGAAGCACTCCCGAAAGTTCCACTTGGCTCTTTTTTTTTTTTTTTTTTTTTTTTTTTTTTTTTTGACAGGCAGAGTGGACAGTGAGAGAGAGAGACAGAGAGAAAGGTCTTCCTTTGCCATTGGTTCACCCTCCAATGGCCGCCGCAGCCGGCGCGCTGCGGCCGGCGCACCGCGCTGATCCGATGGCAGGAGCCAGGAGCCAGGTGCTTTTCCTGGTCTCCCATGGGGTGCAGGGCCCAAGCACCTGGGCCATCCTCCACTGCACTCCCTGGCCACAGCAGAGGGCTGGCCTGGAAGAGGGGCAACCGGGACAGAATCCGGCGCCCCAACCGGGACTAGAACCCGGTGTGCCGGCGCCGCTAGGCGGAGGATTAGCCTAGTGAGCGGCGGCACCGGCCCCACTTGGCTCTTATTAGGATCGAGGCTCCTACTCTGAGAAACAAAGTGAAGGTCACAATCATTGCTGGGCTATTTCCCCCAACTGCGTTCTCAGAAAGCGTGCACATAGCCATGCCTGGGTTAAGAATTCCACCAGACCCACCATGAACTCTGTAGAGCTCAAGTTCCCCTTTATCAAGTAACCATCAGAGTCCCCGTTCTAACAGACCATAATGGCATTCAGAAATGATGAGCTCCAACGGGGCCGGCACTATGACGTTATAGAAACATCAACTGGGACAAGTCTTTGATACGACAAACATGGAGCAGATTTGAGCCAGAGAGGACAGACAGGAGCCTTTCTGTGCTTTCTGGAGCCTGCACAGATTGTAGAAGTGCTAGCTGCTGGCCAGTCCCCTTCCTTGTCTGGGATCCTTTCTAGGTGGAGGGAGCACCAGCCTGCAGGAGGACGTACTGGGTAGACGAGGGCTCATCAGCCCTGCGCTGCTTGTGCCCCCGCCCAGTGTGAGTGTCTGTCTGCCAAGCCCATCCCTGGGGCATTAGCAGCGACAGCTGCCCTCCTCTTCACCTGGCTGCCCATAGGCTCACCTGGGGAGCTCTAAGGACTGCAGGGCTAGGGCTCCGACTCTCCGAGACACTGTTTCCATCCGTGTGGGTCTGGGGCAGAAAGAGGGGCCAGAAGATGGGTGCTTTTGTTTAAGTCACTGCAGCTGAGTTCTGTGGCTGCCGCACCAACCCAGAGGTTCTGATTTAATGATTCCATTGGTCTGTCTGGGTGGGAGCGTGTTTTTTGTTTTTTTGTTTTTAAGCTTGCCAGGATAACACAGCGTGTGTGTGCACATGCATGCCCCGGGCAGTTGCAGGGGGCGGGGTTCCCCGTACCATTCAGCACTGGGAGAGACTGGTGCCCGAAAAACAGAGAAAGGAACTCAGGTTCTTCGAAGGGTCTATCCTTTACTAAACCCTGGCCTAGTTGCTCTTTTCCCTATCTTTTTTAATTACTTATTTTTTCATTTTATTTGAAAGGCAAAGAGACAGAGAAAGAGGTTGTTTATCTGCTGGTTTGCCCTCACCCCCAAATATTTGCAACAAGTAAGGGGCAGGGCTGTGCCAGGTCGAAGCTGGGAGGTCTCCCACATGGGTGTCAGGGATGGAAGTACCTGAGCCATCTGCTGCCACCCAGGATGTGCGTGAGCAGGAAACTGGGTCAGGAGAGGAGGAACCAGGACTGGAACGAGGCATGCAGATCTGCAAGCATCCCAAGAGGTAACTCTTGCTCAACCCTCACCACGACTGGAAGGATGGGTATTGTTATCCCATTTTACAGAGCTGGAGTCAAGACTCGGAGCTTAAACAGCTCTCCTGACATCACACAGCGGGTCATGGGCAGACACCGGGCCACATTCGGGTCTCTTGAAACCGATGCCAGCCACTGCCCGGCAGCCTCCCCAGACAGACTCCATATGCCCTTGCGGCTGCCTCAGCCTGAAAGCCACTCGGCCCCAGAGCCCATCTGGCATGGAATTGGAGCTTTGCTAACCAGCAGTACTGCCCCGGCAGAGAGTCGCAGGAATAAGACTATGTAGGGCAAGGTCCCGGGCAGGAGGCCTTGGTCCCAAAGAGCTGGGCAGAGCAGAGGGCTGCTGGCTGGGAGGGCAGGGGCCAAGAGCCATGACTGTGGAGAAGGGGAGCCTTGAGGCTGGGGCGGGAGCTGGGGGCAGCCCTCGGCGGGGTTCAGCTGCAGTCCAGGAAGGAAGGACTGGCCTTCATCCCGAGGGTCCAACCTCCCCGCAACGGGCTGACAGGAAGTGGAATCGAATTGCTGCATGAGGTGAGTGCTGACTCTCGTTGTGATCCCCCCACAACCACCAGTGGCCCCTGAGAAGGTGGCAAGCCAGCGCTGCTGGCTCTCGGTGATGGCTTTGGCTTTTACACTTTTTATTTGAAAGACAGATCTCCCACTCTCTGCTTCACTCCCCAAAGGCAGGAAGCGAGACCTGGCATGGAATCCTAGCACTCCGATACATTACACAGGTGTCCCAGGTGGCCCCCTAGCCACTGAGCCAAATGTCCCCCCCCTTGTTTTTTTATTGGTCCAAGAAGTCCCCACATCTAGAGTGAAGGTTTCTCTGGGGCGTGGGGATGGGAATTGGCTTGCAGCAGACTAAGGAGGGGGGATGGGCGGCAAGGCCGTGAAGACTGCAGGTGTCCTGATTTTGGAGCCTGGAACTACTCAACATTTGGCTCCGGGATTATGACCTCAGCAGCACCTGGGAGTTAGGAAAGCCATTCCCTGCCCCTTCCCCACCCCCGCCCCCACCCCAGCCAGAACCCCTGGGAGAGGGGCCCTGCCGCATTGCCTACCAAGCTCCCCAGGTGACAGCAGAGGGCGAGGCCGTGAGCAGGGAAAGTGGCTGGAGGAACACGTAGGATGAGAGGACGGCTGCTGTGTGAGGTTGCTATGCTCCTGAAGAAAACACCTGAGCTCTCTAAGCAATATTTTTATTGACATGCCATATGCTGACAAGTGCCCTGCTCATAAACGCACAGCCTGATGCTTTATCAAAACACACCCACACAACCAGGAACCAACCCTAGATTAACAAGCAGCACCACCTGGTCCTCCTCCACTCGCCCTCAGGAGCAGAGAGCAGCCCTGCCGGCCTCTGGACTTCCTGCCCCATAAAGGAAGCGCATAGCGTGTGTGCCCTTTGCTCAGGTCCACTTTCTTCTTGCACCTAATTGTCAGTGGTCCACTCTCATGGCAGCAGAGTATCCCAGGGTGCGACTGACAGCGTTCACTGGGATGATAATGGGCACTTGGGCAGTTTCCAATGTGGGCCTGTCACAAACACTGGAAGAGCTGCTTGGCCACAGACTAGGGCCTTGTCTGGGATCCCAGGGGAAAGGTCAAGAAAACTCATGGTTTCTAGGCGATGGCGCCACCTGCTGGACAAGAGCCACTTGACGTGCCCAGGGTGTTGCCTTTGCCAACCCAAGCAGTGATCCTCAGACAGTAAAACTGTGACCTCCCAGTAGCCTTGGGCTGAACCTTGACCCCAGCCAGAGAGCAGATTCCCCCATGGAGCTGTAGTTCTAAGTCAAGTCCCCAGTCCCTGGACTGGAGTCTGGACGGACCAGGAACTCGGGCTGCTCCCCCAAGGGGAGGGGCCCAGCAGGCGTCTGGGGTGGCAAGGCGGGTGGCCATAGGGCTGGGCTTCTTAAGTTCCCGGAGCTGTGACTCCTGGGAGGCAGCTGCGCTGGGAACCTGTCGTGAGAGCCCCTCGGGCTCATGTCCTAATGGGCCAGGCTCCCTGCTACCTCCCTGCCTGCACCCTGCCCAGACCTGTTCTAGATTCTGACGCCACCTTCCCAAGGTCACCACACCTCCAGCCCGCCCACTGGGGCCGGGCCTCCGTGTCTCAGTGGAAAGGCTGGTGGGCAGGAGGGCAGGAGGGCTGGAGCTGGCAGGGAGGCCATGGAACCCGCCGCACAGCCGGTGTTCTACCAGAAGCTACAGCTCTGGGAGCCCAGCTTGGAGGAGGAAGAGGAAGAAGAGACAGCAGAGCCACTGGTTCCCAACCCCTGGAGGCCCCAGGACGCCGCTGGGTGAGTCAGGGAGGGATCTGGGCTTCTCGGGTCGGAGGCTGGCCAGTCCCTCTGTCCGGAGCCCCTAAGGGCAGCCAGGCAGCCCTGTGCTTGGCTCAGCTCCAGGGACTTTCCTGCTGAGTGGGGGACCCTGGGCCAGAGTCCCAGACCCGGCCTAAACCAGTCCATCCAAGGTCCCTGAGTCTGGAGGGACATTTGTACCAAGCCAGTCCCTGGGCTGTCTGCTGCTCTGCCACAGGTCGCAGACCCCACCCCCAGCACGGGTGACACCTTCCAGGCAGACAGGGGCCTGCACCTGGCTGGGCCCTGCTTCATGCCCTACCACCACCACCCCACCTGTCAAGCCTTCCTCGGGGCCTCCCAACTGGCTTGACCCTGACTCTCCAGGCACTCCCTCCCAAGCTAGCCTCAGTTTCCCCAAGCTCTTCCCCACCTCCATGGCTTTGCCCACGCTGGGCTCTCTGCCTGGACCCCCTCGTGTCCTTGGCAAAGCCATACTCCTCTTGTAAAAGCAAACATTTGGGGGACCATCTCCCGGCTTCTCTTGGAGCTCTCCAGTGCCCCCCTGCCCAGCCCTGGCTCAGGACGCCCCTTTCCGCAGGAACAAGTTCCGTGGGCTTCCAGGAGCCTGGGCCCGAATAGCGGCCGCCCTCTTGCTGCTGGCCGTTGCCTGCTCCCTGGCTGTCAGGCACCTCGGAACTAGGGGCGGCTCGGCAGCAGCCTCGGACTCTGCGGCCCCTCCCCCTGGGGGCCACTCCCATCGCCCTGGCGTCTACCACCACGGTGCCATCATCAGCCCTGCAGGTCAGCGCCGGGGGCAGCTCAGGGAGGCGCCCGGGCGGGGGTCGCTGGTCCTGGGCCCCCCCATGATAGTACCTTCCTCGCTGCAGCTGAATGCTCCCAGCTGGGCCGAGAGCTGTTCACTGCAGGGGGAAACGTCGTGGACGCCGGAGTGGGCGCCGCTCTGTGCCTGGCAGTGGTGCACCCTCATGCCACAGGGCTAGGTAAGTGACCGAGACGCCAGACAGCTACCCCACCAGGGCCTCGGTGGTCTCTGGCGGTCAGCAGCCCTGACCCCCAGGCTGGACCCAGACTGGGAGCCCTGAGTTAACCCCTGATCTCAAACTCTGTCACTAACCTGGCCCTCAGACAAGTCTGTGACCCCTCACCTGGAACTGCCCCGACCCCTGGGCGCTTCCTTTGTCTCCTCGCAGGTGCCACGTTCTGGGGCCTCTTCCTCAACAGCTCCTCAGGCAATTCGACTGCCCTGACGTCAGGCCCAGCCCAGACGCTGGCCCCGGGCCTGGGGCTGCCCGCGACTCTGCCTACCCTGCACCTGCTGCATGCACGCTTTGGCCATCTGTCCTGGCCACATCTGCTGCTGGGGCCCACCAAGCTGGCTCAAGAGGGCTTCACGGTGGATGCAACTCTGGCAAGGGCTCTGGCGGCCCAGGGCACAAAGGGCCTCTGTCCACTGCTCTGCCATGCTGATGGGACCCCCCTGGGCCTTGGGGCCAGAGCCACCAACCCACAGCTGGCAGCTGTGCTACGCAGGGCAGCGCTTGCCCCCACCCCAGCCCTTGCCAGGGATGCCCTCCTGAGCCTGCTGGCCGGAGACCTGGGGCTGGAGGTGCCCTCAGTGTGGCCCATACCCACCTTGGAGCCGGCACTGCAGCTACCCGTGCCCCAGGGCCTCCTGCTCACCACGCCCAGCCCCTCAGCTGGCCCAGAACTGCTGACCCAGCTGGAAGCAGTCCTACACTCAGGGGGACCCAGTCCCAACCCCTGCCCACCGCTCCTGCAAACTGCCAGGACCCCTGGGAGCAGCGTCCTGGCCTCCGTGGACAGCAGTGGCTCTGTGCTTCTTCTCGCCTCCTCCCTCAATGGCTCTTTCGGCTCGGGACACCTGTCCCCGAGCACGGGGATCCTGCTCAGCAACCTGGTGGCCAGATCTGCACCTAGCACCTGGGCCTGCCCCCTCATCCTCCGTAGCAGCTCGGACGACATGGAGGCCGATGTATTAGGGCTGGTGGCTTCAGGGACCCCGCACATGGCCAAAGCCATGACTCACGCCTTGCTCAGCCATCTTGCAGGGTCCCAAACCCAGCACCAGCATGGACCAACAGCGAACCCCAGGACCTGTGGCCAAGGGACCCTGCTCCAGGTGGCCGCCCATGCAGAACACGCCCACGTGTCCAGTGTCCCCAGTGGCTGCTGCCCCTTCCAGGGGTTCTAAGGGGGGCTGGTAGGGAGCAGAGTTGTCTCAGGCCTGGGGGCAGAAGCCAGCAAGTCAAGTGCCTTAAGACTGTGTATCAATCATGTTCTCACTGCTGGCTCAGTCCACAACCTCTGGCCCAGTCAGTGACCTGGATGAGAATTCTGGCATCCGGGGCCAGCTCAGTCATTCTTCAAAACATTCTTTTTTTTTTTTTTTTTTTAACTTTTTTGACAGGCAGAGTGGACAGTGAGAGAGACAGAGAAAGGTCTTCCTTTGCTGTTGGTTCACCCTCCAATGGCTGCCGCGGCCAGCGCACCGCGCTGATCCCATGGCAGGAGCCAGGTGCTTATCCTGGTCTCCCATGGGGTGCAGGGCCCAAGCACTTGGGCCATCCTCCACTGCACTCCCTGGCCACAGCAGAGAGCTGGCCTGGAAGAGGGGCAACCGGGACAGAATCCGGTGCCCCGACCGGGACTAGAACCCGGTGTGCCGGTGCCACAAGGCGGAGGATTAGCCTAGTAAGCTGCGGCGCCGGCTCAAAACATTCTCAGTGGATGCAATTTCTGGCTCTTTTATCAGCTAAGGAACCTGAGGATTAGGAGGAAAGAGCAAACAGCCAAGGGCTAATCCACCCAGCTCTGGGACAAAGGGAGGAACACCAAGCCCCTGCCTGGGCTCTGAGCCCCAGTGGCGCAGGGCAGGCAGGCTGCGTGTCCTGCTGGCATCCCCCATCCTCCCCTTCAAGCCGCCCTGGGCGGCTCTCCCTCAGCTGGACTGGACACAAAATAAAGGTCAAGTCTCCGGGATGCCAAGTCCCCTTCCTGCTTCTTGGTTCACTTTCCATCAGCCGTCCAGGGCTTCCTAGGGGCAGCACGAGTGACCAGTCCCCAGAGACGGCCATGGCCTGCACTGGCGGCTTTCAGCTTCTCCCTGTTTTGTTCATCAGCTACCTCCTGTGCACTGCGTTTGCAAGGTAAATCTGTCACTTTCACTTTTGAGAACCGAGCAGGGCAGCCATTGAGAGGCTGAGAAGGAGGTGCCCTGGGGTTCCTGTACATGGGGCTGGAGCTGGACAAGGGCGCTCTGGAAAGAGCTGCTCAGGCCATGGGCACGGCCACCAGCACCCTCCTCACCACCCATGGTAAAGGCATCTCTGATTTCACAGAACCCTCCCTCCCCGCCTCTCCCCAGCCCCAAAGAGAATCTCCCCCCAACCCGTTCTCCCATGGCACCCCAATCCACACAGTTCTTTCAGTCCCAAACCTGGCTTTCTTCTCTTTTCCTCTTCCCCAACATGTAATAATCCATTGCTTACCCTGGCCAGCTCCAAATTAGCCAGTATCTGACCTGTTGTCCTATTGCCTGGGACCCACACATCATTGTCTCCAACTGGAGTTCCTGTTCCTGCCTTTGACCACCTGTAGTCCATCGCCCACCACACAAGTGCCAGCCACAATAACCCGAGAAATGCACATGTGACCGGTGCTGGCCCCTGCGTAAGAAACTGCAGGACCACCCCATCCTGCCATCCTGTGCAGCCTTGCTCCTCCACTGCTTAGGTCCCTCCTGGGATTTTTGTCCCCTTCAATCTTTGCCCTAGGAAATCATGGGGTCTTTTTTTTTTTTTTTTAATAATTCACAAGTTTTAAACTGCTGTTGTGAGTAGCATGATGGTATTTTTAAGACCTTATTTATTTGAGAGGTAGAGTTAGAGAGGGACAGGGAAAGTTTTGCCATCTGCTGGTTCACTTCCCAGATGGCCACAATGGCTGGAGTTGGGCGGATCCGGAGCCAGGAGCTTCCGGGTCTCCCACGCAGGTGCAGGGGCCCAAGGACTTGGGCCATCTTCCACTGCTTTCCCAGACGCAGTAGCAGGGAGCTGGAGTAGAAGAGGAGCAGCTGGGTCTCATGACGCCCATACAGGATGCTAGGGCCACAGGTGGGAGAAGCTTAGGCTACTACACCAGTAAACAGGTGCAGTGCGTTTCCCTCTGACCCCTGCATTCCTTCTTTATTTTCTCCCTAATTATCTTTTTAAAATATATCTGTCTACTTGCTCAGCAGGGGCCCTGTTACCACCGCCTAGCCCAGCCTACCGAATGTAGGCGCTCAGGAATCAGTAACTCCTGGGTGGTTTCACTCCTGGGTGGCTTCATGTTGGAGCCCAGGGGCCGCTCTCGGACTAGAGGATCGATGTGCTCCCCTGAGACCCCAGATTTGGAGTGAGCCGCGAAGCCGACAGGGCGCCTGGGGCTGCAGGGCGAGGATTTACCGCCCCAGTGAGGGCGGAAGAGCAAAGAGGAGGAAGGGCGGAAGGACTGCCCTCCCAGGCCCCGCCTCCCTCCTGGCTGCCCCGCCCCGGCGCCAGATCCAGTGCGCAGGCGCCGCGACCTGACCCGGAGGCGACGGTCTGCGCCGCACACGTGTTTCGGGAGCATGGCGGAGATGGAGGATCAGGAGCTCGCGGAGCCGATGTCTCCGGAGGCGGTGGCGGAAGCCGACCGCCGCGGCCTGCTGAAGCACAGCCGCGAGTTCCTGGACTTCTTCTGGGACATCGCGAAGCCGGAGCAGCAGACGCGGCTGGAGGCCACGGAGAAGCTGCTGGAGTACCTGCGCACGAGGCCCAGGGTATGGCGGCGGCCGGGGCCGTGGCGCCACGGGCGTCCCTGCTCGGGGACGGGGCACGGGGGCCGGACAGAGCACGTGCTTCGCGGTCCTGGATGCCGGGGTGGGGGGGGGTGGGGCGAGGGCAGGCTGGTGCTTGTCCTCGTTCGTCGGTAACGATGCGCTTGCTTTCACAGGGGTCGGAGATGAAATACGCTCTGAAGCGGCTGATCACTGGGCTCGGGGTGGGACGAGAAAACGTTCGGCCTTGCTACAGCCTGGCCCTAGCGCAGGTGAGGGTGCTACCGGCGGAGAAGGCCGTGCCGGTCGGGGCGGCTGAGCCAATGGGAGGCCGGCCTAACGTGGAGGAGGTGGGAGCAGGGCCTGCCTGCCGAGAGGTCCTGGCAGGTGGAATGGGGAGTGAGTGGGACTAAGTGATGGTCCGTGCGTTGATCAGCTTTGGGGTGCACTTGCTGGGAGTGCGGAGGTTTGGGGTCGGCTCCGGCAAGGCCCAGGGCGCTCAGCCCCCTCGGGCGCTGTGCGAGGAACTTGGACGTGGAAGTCGCAGGCGGTGAGGGTATCTGGGGGCTCTCAGCAGCCTAGAAGCCCTGGTGGAGGAGGGGTAGAGAGGCAGGGTTCGGGTGTGTGAGAGCAGCTTCAGAGAGGACTTTGAGGGGGAGGGTGGGGACCCCAGGCTTCCAGGAAACAGAGAAGGTTGGCGCGCTTGGGCCACCGCCCTGAGCCCCTCTCTTCCTCCTGCCACCGCCCCTGGCAGCTGTTGCAGTCTTTTGAAGACATCCCCTTGTGCAGCATCCTGCAGCAGATCCAAGAAAAATACGGGCTGGATTCGGTGCCGAAGGTGACCGGGGGGCTGGGTGCAGGGGTGGCGGGGATGGGGGGTCCTGGGCCTGGCTCACCTGGGCCTGGAATCTTTTTCTAGGCCACGATGAGACCCAGTCTCTTTGCAAACCTGTTTGGGGTGCTAGCCCTCTTTCAGTCGGGCCGTCTGGTGAAGGTAAGGATCTTGGGAACACAATGGGGCAAGGACTGGCATGGTAGTGTTGGGGGGCCATACGCCCTGCTCATACCCCGTGCCCTTGTGTGCGTCCCAGGACCAGGAGGCACTGATGAAGTCCGTGAAGCTGCTGCAGACCCTGGCCCAGCACCACAACCACCTTCAGGAGCAGCCCCAGAAGGCCCTGGTGGACATCCTTTCTGAGGTAAGGGGTTCCCGGCTCTGGGCCTTGGGTGACACTGCCCGATGTGGAAATGTCGTAGTGGATGAGGAGGCTTTAGGCCAGCCCTGTTCCACACAAGGGTCCTTCTTAAAGCTGTGGTACAGCGGGTAAGCCACCACTTGCAATGCCAGCATCCTATATCAGAGGCCTTGTTTGAGTGCTGGCTGCTCTGCTTCCCATCTGGTTCCTGCTAATGCGCCTGGGAAGGCAGTGACGATGGCCTGCCCAAGTGCTTGAGTCCCTGACGGTCACGCAGAAGACCTGCTTGGAATGCTAGCTCCTGGCTTCCGCCTGGCCCAGCCCTAGCCACTGAGGCCATTTGGGGAGTGAACCAGCAGTAGATCTCTGTCTCTCCATGTCTGTCTCATTCTGTTTTTCAAAGAAGTAAATCAACATATCTTAAGGGATGTGGAAGTTGAGGGGCCCGCAGCATGGCGCAGGGGATTAAGCTGTCTCCCGCGATACCAGCATCCCCGTGGCCACCAGTTCAAGTCCCGGCTGCTCCACTTCGGATCCAGCTCCCTGCTAGTGGCCTGGGAAAAACAGTGGAAGATGCCTAAGTGCTTGGGCCCCTGCACCCACATGGGAGACTCAATATAGGATATATCTGTTACTGTCTGTAACTTTTAGAAAGCTTATTTGAAAGTAGAAAGTTTAGTCAAGATGGTATATGAAAATACAGTTTGATACAATTTATATATATTTTCCTTCATTAAGATACATATTCCGTGAACTTTTTAACACATCCCCATGTATGTGGATTTTGAAAATGTTTTGTGCCAACCAGCGCCGTGGCTCAACAGGCTAATCCTCCGCCTAGCGGCACTGGCACACCAGGTTCTAGTCCCGGTCGGGGTGCCGGATTCTGTCCCGGTTGCCCCTCTTCCAGGCCAGCTCTCTGCTGTGGCCAGGGAGTGCAGTGGAGGATGGCCCAAGTGCTTGGGCCCTGCACCCCATGGGAGACCAGGAGAAGCACCTGGCTCCTGCCTTCGGATCAGCGCGGTGCGCCGGCCACAGCGGCCATTGGAGGGTGAACCAAAGGTAAAGGAAGACCTTTCTCTCTGTCTCTCTCTCTCACTATCCACTCTGCCTGTCAAAAAAAGAAAAAAGAAAATGTTTTGTGCCAAAATAAACTCACCTCTTTTTTTTTTTTTTTAAGATTTATTTATTTATTTGAAGGAGTTAGGGAGGGAAAGCCAGAGAGGTCTTCCATCTGCTATCCCACTCCCCAAAATCAGGAGCCAGGAGCTTCTTGCAGGTCTCCCATGACGTGGGTACAGGGGCCCAGACACTTGGGCCAGCTTCCACTGCTTTCACAGAGCACTGGATGGGAAGTGGAGCCAGCTGAGGCTTTACCTATTTATTATGCCACACTGCTGGCCCCATAAACTCACCTTTCAATTCCATTTTCTGCAAACTTTTGTTAGTAAGCATCTGGGGAAAGCTAAAAAGTAACATGTAGTTGAGTAATGTCATTAGTCTTGTATATACCTAAAGCTCATTGTGACGTGCCATCTGAAAAATCGTTGATATTTTATATTTATAATCTATCATATTAAGTCCAGAAACTGGTCGTTTTATACTTTTAACGCATTCCATCCAGGTTAAACTTTCTTTTGACTTTATCACATGTGGTTCAGTCCCCAAATTCTAGCAACAGCTGGGCCTGGGCCAGGGCAGAGCCAGGAGCTGAGAGCTCAACCCAGGTGTCCCTCGTGGGTGGCAGGGGCCCACGGTCACTTGAGCCATCACCACTGCCTCCTGAGGTTTGCACTAGCAGGAAGCCGGAGTCGGGAGCTGGGTATCCTATCAAATCCAGACACTGCGACAGGGAGGAGGTGTCTCAACCACCAGGCAGCATGCCTGCCCGTTCCCCGTTGCAAGTGCTTGGCGGCTGTCTGGTTGGGCAGCGCAGCTCTGGAACAGGGCCCTGCACGCGGCAGGGCATTAGGCTCATTTGCTAT